AGAATGGTGTGTGAGAGCAAGCCTCCTCATTCGACACCCACACTTGCCGTTCGGCTTTCGGACAAAGCACTACGCAGGAATGGTGTGTGAGAGCAAGCCTCCCCATTCGACACCCACACTTGCCGTTCGGCTTTCGGACAAAAACGTGGGTGTCGAATGGGGAGGCTTGCTCATTCCTGCGTAGTGCTTTGCACGGAAGAAGGCGTCAATGACGTTATACTGCTCCTTGGGCAGGGGCCATTGGCATGTTACGCAGTATCTGGTTCCAGGAACCATGTCGGTCTCATGCCGTACACCTCGGTCCGGAGGTAGGGTCGACGGCGGTTCTTTGGAGACGACGTCTTGAAATTCCTTCACCAAAGGAAAGTACGGATCCGAGAGATTCTTCAGAATCAAATCTCTTCGTGCGCTCAGCACCCTCTTGGTGTCCTCCAGGACAGCTTCATCCAGAAGCGACGACGAGTTGATCTGCTCTTACTGTCGTAAAATGATCACTTCGGCTTAGTCGCCTGCCTTCAAGACACCGCCGAACTGCTCGAGGGAAATCTCGTCCAGCTCAAGAAAAGCATCCACCGCGGGAATAGCCTCGAGGGTGACGTCGCCAGCTTCCTTTCCAGTCATACCGTTGACGAGGATGTATAGCTGTACACAATCGTCTACGATAGACACTTGCTGGGTCTGGGTCGACGGCCGGTGTTTTGCAGCTAGCATACGGCGCCGCTGTCGCTCTTCACAGAGGTTGTACGTCTCGGTGAGACCAGTGTGAACACGCACTCTGCGTGGTCCAGTGTCAGCCCCACTTCCTGCTCCACCAGAGCTCTGATGTTATTAACAACATCCGAAGAAGTGCTGCAAGCTTTGCAGTCTTCGTCCAGTGGATAATGTGCCACTCACGCGCATCTGAAAGGCCTTGCCCAAGATACCTCGGACCTCGTCTGACCATGCCACTCGTGGCATACAGTGATTGCTTGGAGACGTGAGCAGTGCTCAGTGGATTACGTGCCAATCCACATCCATCACTGGGACCTCGTTCTCGATGACCCGGCCCTTGGCCGACCATGCCACGCATTGCATGCAGCGACTACTCCAATACTTGAGCAACGCTCAGTGGTTTACGTACCACTCCACGTTTAGCCTGCGAGCCATGGGGTCAAAGACAACCTCTTTCATGCACCAATACTGGCGCTGCCAGACTCTAATCTTCCTTTTAGTGTCATCTGTGACGCTTCAGACTTTGCCATCGGCTGTGCATTGCTGCAAGCAGACGCCGAGGGGTGAGATCGGGTGATCGCGCTTGAATTCCATCAGCTCAAGGCTGCAGAGAAAAGCTACCAGTCCATGACAAGGAACTACTTGCGATATAGTATGCACTTGTCAAGTTCAGGGTGCAAGATCTATACAGATCATGCGCCACTACGCACTGCGACTCAGTCGCCTCCTTTCTCGCAGAAGATGACCAGGTGGCTCTCCTTCTTTGCAGAATATAACTTCGAGGTGATGTATGAGCCAGGAAAGCAAAATGCTTTGACTGATGCGTTGTGATTATGGGCTTGCTCATGTCACGACGGTGATTTCGTCCGTGACGGATTTGATCCGCGCCGCGTACACGGGTGATGATATGTGCGTAGCGCTGATACGGGCTCTCGGGAGCAAGGGTTTGAAAACTCGGACAAGAAGTTCTCGTCGCGACCGCGTGCACAGTTGCTCCAATATCCACTGAATAATGAATTGCTGTATTATAACACCGACTCGACGTATACGCCACAAATTGTGGTCCCTCACGATGAGGATTTGCAAGACCGTATTATCAATGAGGCCCACGACACCCCACTCAGTGGTCATCTCGGTCGTGAAAAGACCTACAGCTTTGTGAGTTACAACTACTGGAGGCCCAAGCTGTTCGAACATATGTGCGCACGTGTGAGACATGTCAAAAGGTGAAACCCTCTCCAAATGCGGCGGCGTCGCTGGCTAGTTTGTCGGTACTCTCCGGGTGATGGCAGTCCATGAGTTTGGACTTTGTGTTCGGTCTGCCAAAGAATTGGTGGACATCACGGGTGTTTTGTCGTCGTCGACCGTTAGAGCAAGATGGTTCATCTCGCGGCGGTGCCGGACACCACCGACGGTGTCGGTACAGCGACGGTGTTTGTCGATCGTGTCTTTCGGCAACATGAACCACCAAAGGCAATTGTCTCTGACAGAGGTCCACGCTTTACTGGGAAGTTATTTCGACGATCTTCAAGGTGCTAAGCACCAAGCTGGATATGTTAATAGCGGACCATCCGCAGACCGATGGTCAGACTGAGCGCTTGAATTGTGTTGTCGTGGACGTCCTTCGCAGCGTCTGCGATGAGACCCTGAGGCACTGGAGTGCCATGCTGCCAGTCGTAGATTTGCTCTGAACAATGCAGTGCATTCGCTTACTGGCTGCACGCCGTTCTATGTGAACGGTCTTGTTCATCCTCGCATCTCGCTGACGCCGCCGTCCCATCTTTCAGGACTTGGTAGGGGAGAGATAGCCGAGCGCTTAGCTGATGTCAGCCCCTTTACTGTGCGTATATAAGTTGATGACTTCATGTCTATTAGACTGAGCGTTTAACGACACGTTCGCGATGCGATAGCTAAAAGCCAAGACATGCAGATGAAATATGCAGACAGAAGCGGAATAGGAAATGTTAAAAACTTCGAGGTCAGATACCTTGTTTTATTAAATGCTAAGAACCATCCTACACATACAATTTCTGCTTCTTTAAGACGAGCTATGTCCGCGATTTATCGGAACCTTAAAATTTGTGGCAAAGCGGGGCCTTGCGTATACGCTAAAATTTCCGAATTGGATACGCACTCACCGAGTGTTTTATGTGGGCTTGACCAAGCCGCACCGGGATCCGGCACAAGTCAACGCGGAAGCGTTGACGCCAGAGCGGCGCCAACAGGCGCTCACCACCTAGAAGCTGATCCAGCAACTGGTTTCGAGCACGGAGCCTAATGATCGCTATCTCCAACAGTACCAGGCGTTCTACATGCGCATGAGGCGACGCGTTCGTATGCCCAACAGCTAATGGCCACTCCGACAGATAGCGATAGTCCTTAACTTTAGGCAGCCGGTGCACTACGTGCTTAAAGCTCTCTAGGAATTTCGCGGATCGGTATGCGACCGCAGCATGATGCTCAGCGGAGTACTGATCGCGACGGATGTCGTCCTCGAGTGCTCGTAGAGCATCGCGAGTCACCGGACGGCGATCCACCCAGTAGTCATCGTCTGCTGCTGACTCTTCTCGACGAAAGTGGTGGTGTCCACTATCATGTAAAACGTCTTGTGGGTCGATGTCGTCGCTAGAGACAACCCAACTATCTTGTGAAGTCTCGGAGATATCCCGACTTCGAGAGTTCGCGGGAGTTTGAAGTACCACTTCGGCAAGACTGTCCAGACGTCGTGTACGCTAATGACTATAGATTTCATGACGCTCCGAGTCGCCGTACGCCCCGCGCTCCTCAGCAATAGCCAGGAAAGCCGAAGGGCCACGAGATGAGCTCAAGGTATGGCCCTGAGAAGCTGCGGTCGCAGACTCGCCAAAGTGAGACACCACAGAGCTTGCAGGAGCGTGATGGATCAATCCATACGTACAGGGAGCCAAACCGAAGGAAGAAGGCGATGCGCCTTGAATCTGGCAAACTCGAATCCGCCAGTGTGAGACACCACAGGGCGCGCGGGAGGGTGATGGATTATTCAATATATCCCATGGCGTCAATACGTAGGAAGTCGGCGTTGCGCCTTGAGTTTGGCAAATTCGAATCGAAGATGGCGTTCTATTTGCACGTCCACTTCCTTGTGGCTCCGCTGTAAGTAAGACAGTGGGAAAGAATTCTGGTGCCGCTGCACCAATCACTCAAAGCGCTCTTCATCATCTGCACCGTTTTTACCAGGGGTGAGCGACACAGGAATAGTCCGCATTGCGGGTACAGGGACGCCTCCTCTTTGGCGCGAAGTCGAGCGTGGAACCTATCCATTGGGGTTTCGCAAGGTAACAAGAAGCGAGATCGGATAGCTTTTTGCTGGTCAAGCTCGGCTTGTGTAGGCTGGGGGACGTCTAATGATCGAGTGATCGCGTCTTTCCCTTCAGTAGCAAAAACTGTCGAGCAGAACCCGTATTACACACGAGGGTCTAGGACCGAACGTGGATACGAGCGCGTAAGGGCTGCATCCAGCTGTTGCTACTTCTGTGCCTCGTCGAAGCGATTGGTAACAATACCACTTACCCTGGAAGTCGAGAGGTCAGGGCATGGACACGGCGTCCGCAAGGTCCGAGCTGGGCTCACGTCGCGCCGACGGTGCACCTCATTCTTCAAAGCGCTAATTCATCTTCACATCTATTAATCTCGAATCTCAAGTGACTGTTGTTATTCCCATGCTGGGAAGAGTATTCGACTCGAAGTCGACTTTTCCAAATCCTCGACGAGGGTTTCCGTCGCCCGGGGCGGGCGCGATGTGTGGCGCTCGGTTGCCGAGGGCTTGGGATGTGCTTCTCGTGAAGCCGCAGACGTACTGTCCGGAGATACACCCGTGCGGACGAAGAAGAATGGCTTTGTCCGCGGGCGCCCTCGAAACCAGCTCGGATGGATTTTTCTTGTCATAGACACAGGGATCATTGAATCGAGCATGTTCAAAGATGTTCTTGACGCCATAACAGTGTCTCAGACACGCAAGCCTTGTATGAGGCGATATTCAAATGTGAATCGTTGGTAATCACAATTTTGATAGGGGGGAGTGTAATGGGGGTTGCACGTACCCTTGTACGAAAGAGCGGGTCACACAAAATGGTGTGTCCGTACAAAGGTGTGGATTACACAAGACGGTGTAATCACACAATGGTGTGGCTACACCGTGACCGGAAGCCACCACGTGTCAGGATTGCCAGAAGTTATGTTTATTAATTCGGTTTTACTTTACAATTAAGAAAACCTATAGTTTTAGATGTAGGCGACTCTGCCGCAAATAAAACAATTAAATACTGTTTCAGTTTTGAACGGAAGAGCGCCTTTAACTTGGAAAAGGTTTAATTCCTCTTGGATGTAGCGGATTGCGATCCGATACACATGTATTTGTTTTTGTAAAGAACGTAAGGTCGATGGCCTTGGCTTAGCTTCCTCTAAGCAAAGAGCTACGGCAGCTTCGCTGCAGTGGGCCACACAAGATGGTATGACCATACATAGATGTGGATTACATAAGACGGTTCAATTACACAATGGTGTAGTTAAGCCGTAACAAGAAGCCACTACGTGGCCAGATTGCCAATAGATATGTATATTATTAAAGTTATACTATTGAATAAGTAAAATTTAGAGCTTTGGGTATCGGCGGCTTCGCCGCAAAATAAACAAATCAATACAGGTTGGACTTTAAACGAAAGAGTATATTTGTATTGGGTTAAGGTTGTGGGTACTTTTGGAGGTAGCGGGTTGCGATACGCTACACTCGTTCTGGCTCTAGTGTCGAACGAAGGTCGGTGACCTTAGATAAGCTTCCTCTCAGCAAAGATTTACGGTAGCCCCGCTGCAAAAACCCCAAGTCCAGATTAGTGCACGATGAAGACGATGTTTCCTGAGCAATCACTTCGGTAGAGAAAGCCCTACTGTCCAATGAGCGCGATGTACTCGTAGTCCAACATGTACAAGTCTGGCTACACGTGCAAATCGTTCCATCGGCTTAAGATATCGCCACGTTCTTCGGTGCCTTTGGTCAATCTGCCAGTTACGGTAATATGTAGGCAGTCCTGGCATAACTATGAGCTCTTTTTGGCCTACGTGTCTAGTAATACTGGCTCGGTGGACTTTGTAGCAAAACCGTCCATCTCACTGCTGTTCAGCGACACCGCTACCGGTAAGGGAACAGCCAAGCCGTTCCTTGACATAGATTAAAGTAACAGGGGTTGCTTGTTGCCCTTATTTTGGATCGATGATTGCGTGTTTCAGTGAAGTTTTGACAAACATTATTTGAAATGCTAAGTGCCAGATTGGACATGTGCACTGCTGACCATTCACGGGTACATGATGCATCAATTGCTTGGTGGACGATATACTTCAAAGCATTGCCCGAAAAGACCACAGTGCTGGCGTAAATGTCACATATTTTGAGATGCAAAATGTAGTGGATGCTTCTACCGGCTAACTACCATATATACAAATGATTTGTATTACGCTGGGCGTCTTTGATATCAGAACGAAATATATCTTGTCATGTTGGTGAAAGGGTTCATTCTACTCGCTAATGTTAGTCCAGCTACACTTGGCATCATAATCACTGATCATATCATCGTAAGGTTAAGCTTAATGTGACGAGCGCGCGGCTCTGACCCTGAGAGCCAAGATGTATCAAGGCAACGTGAAGATGTCAGAGGCAGGCAGCACACATATGTAAATAGTGAGTGGAAAGACTTTACTCAATGCGGATCGTCTATCTACACATAAAGTTTCTGCAGTATGAAATGTTGTATTGCAATATCGCTTCATCAGACGGTTTACGTTGGTAGCCAAGAACAAACGAGGTACTAGCTCAATATCCAGAAGCAAATGAGAAAATATGTTGTGTATTACGTTGGGGTACCAGTAGCGGAGTTATTTCCACCTCCAAAATAATGAATGATCTGGCTCTGAACCTCGTAGGGTCATCCAGCCATTTTGAATAACGATAGCGTAGCGCAAGCAGTGAAGACGTAGCTCACCTCAGAATTGTACACATGCCGAGACTTTTAGAAGATCCCGTATTGCCATGCCGAGCAACCTTACAAGAGCCGGCCGCGAAGGAGCTATCGTCCACTGGTACGTATCGATTAGCAAGGAAAGCCAGATGCCCAATTCTGTGCTAAATGGTCAGGGACCGGCGGTTTCATCACGTTGCAACTACTATCTGCTGAGGTGAAATGGATATTAGACTTTAATATCTTAAAGTTGGAGGTCCCAATTTGGCGAGATTGCTCGCACCGTTAGCGTCTCTGACTTAGCCTATATATCCCCGAGTAAATTACAAAGTCGTCCAGCTCATTGCTTTTTGATGGCTAATGGGTTCGAAGTTGTTCCTAACTCAACCTTGGCCAGTAGTATCAAGATATGTCACTTAGGAACGTGTGGGGCTGTCAGCAAGAAAATGAGGTAATAATTATTACCTGGGCGTTCAAGAATTGCTTAAAATTTAGCAGAGTATAGCATTATGCGACTCGTAATTTCGACGTCTGCTTCACCAAGGCTGGATAAAGGAGCATTAAGACTGATGAGTTGATGCGTCTTTTTCAACTCAGTTCGTAAATTGAGTGCGCCACCCTCCGGGACGTTCGCCAGCAATTGGTAACAATTATCCATCCCTTACGGAGAGTACGAGCTTGCCCTATTGCTGCTGTTTCGGACGCAGACGGTACCCCTGGGGAGTAGTGAGTTGCCTGTAGGATTAGAGAGCGCTCGTAGAGCGGACTTTGATGACCGTGTAAAAGATATGATGGACAACGTAACATAAACAAACTCCATTATATCTAGATATGACAGAGCCGGCAGAAAAGTCGTTGCAACTACTGCGCTTGCAGACGGGCAATCATGGTTAGTTGAGCCAGGCCCAGCTCATCTGTTACACATTATTAAGCATTCTTGCGATTCCTTGGAGGGGTGCCGCAGCAATTGCAGCCTCAGCAACTGGGCTGGGAGTGCGCAAGTCGTTATATTTGAGGCCTAGCGTAAAGACCGCTTCATTGCCACGAACGGCTCTGCCGTCTTTCTCGTTGTGGAGCTGGTGTTGTGTAGGAGAAATAAAAGTCGCTATGACCATTACCATGAGATATCATCTTGGTTTCTCCATAAAACGAATGATGGTCACGATCTTCACCGCCTTTCTCAAGGGTGTGTTGAGCCTTGAAGACACGCTAGAGAAAGATAAATTATGCAGAGAGCCTCATTAGAGCAGGCACTGTAGTATAATTCAACATCAAGGGCAGTGGATCGTTCACTTTTGCGCAACATTCGTGTTCCTTGTAGACCGCCTCTTGGTGGAGGACGGTGTAATGGGGGACGTAGCAAATTTCAGTTCATCTACATTGCTTATTTGTTCAATTTTGCAAACTTCAGAGGCGCCACAGTACTAGTACGGCAGAGTTTGGTGGAATTTTGTAACAGAGAGGTTCATAAGACATGTTGCCTGCTTGCCTCACATCATGCAATTTTCAAAATTTACTATTGAGCATATATTTATTATTAGTTTGAATTAGTTTGAATGAGTCATAAGGCTAACTAAATTTCACATTGAAGATCGATTATTTTTTATAAAATCTTTGGGATGATCCCGATTCGGCTCCTGGTTCCAGCATTAATACACATCTTCTGTACGCAGTAAATACGTGTTTGAGATTTATCTGTGCAAGGTGCACGGCATTCCGCTCCAATAACCATAGCACAATGATAAGAGTAGAATTTCAGTCTTTAACTCCACGGTATGAACCAATAGAAGGTCAGAGCAATCGATTTCCCTTTGACGATGTCACGTTCTATCCGAGTCAGATGATGAAGGGGCGGATTTTAGTTTTTGATACAGTCAATTTTCTCAGTCAAAATGAGCATATGATGTATATTTTATCACCTACAATAGATAAATTCTGATTGATGCAGATGGTTATGGCGTCCGCCATGCTCCAAAACGAGCAACAGCGCATGGCGCTAGCTATTACCACGTGGGGCTAGCAGCCCACGTCCCCAACAGGTGGAAATGGAAACGTACTCCACCACGCTCTCTTCACCCATTATGTGGATCGCGACTGGTTCATGATATTTTTGTTGATAAGACCTCTTTCAAGGACTTATTTTAGTGTTATCTTTAGAAGCACGTACTACCCCGATCCTTTCATCATTAACCGCTTGTTTTAGTATATGCATTGAGGGTCGCCAGGATTGACGGGGTGCTGAAGGTCTATGTCATGAAGATCTTATTTGCGAGGAAAGGCCAAGTATGTTCAGTTGCGAGTTGTTATATTAATTAACCGGATTTTGGCCTGTCATTCCTTCATTCCACAGGTCATATGGCGTCGACCTTCTTGACAAACTGAAGCCTTTTCCATAGTTGTGCAACTGCAACGTTTACGGACACCTATGATTGCGCGAACCACGTGCCCGCTCTACGAGTCATACTGCCGGCTAAATAATCAGTCTCATTCAATAAATATCAAATTGCGCTCAAAGCGCTAAGCTTGTATTTTAACAAGCGCGTCGATCGTAATGACCACATCACAATATGACTATGGTACTGATTGACCGGATTGACAGAAGCTGATTGATGCACCATGATGTAATCTTTAGCGTGTGGTCGTGCAGTTCTGTCAAAGTGGGCGAATATCTAATTTCGCGACCTCCATCTGGTCCCACTGGCCACAATTACTCAGTATATTGTATGTGACTTATTCAGCAGTGCCAACGTCTCTCGAAAGTCGGATTTATGACTGAACGTATCGTGCTGAGTCAAGATGACGATGCTAAAAAATACAACACAAAATTGCTATCCAACTACAACGTCGCTTAATACTTTGCTTAAGGCAAAGCGCGACATCCAAGTCGAGGTGGGGCCTAGCCTTCACCACCGGATTCTGCAGAAATCACCATGTTTATCACCACGGCATTTACCAGCCAACCATCAAACACATAGAAATATGCTCTCAAGCGAATCTTGTGGGACTAAAGCAAAGGGTATGCCGAGTCGGAAGTGTCAGAGACACCAGGACAATCTTGCCAAATTCAAAACTCAAATCGGCAGATTTTCTCGGAATGAAAGGTGTCCCAAATTTAAAAAGATGGATTAATTTCGTGGCCTGTACACCGAGCCATAATTCATTTCGCACGAAACGAGATGGTTGTTTCTCAAACAGAATCAGTGAGAGGTCACTCTTGCGTGACTGAGCTTAATGAGACTTTAGAATTGACGAGGGGAGTCGAAGATCGCCAGATGTCTCGACATGCATTTTGTGAAGAAGCCGATAGTCATTCTGACCCATTTTCATAGATATACAACTCAATCGATTGTCTCGACGCAAATCGAACAGATATTAATTTATAGCAGATGTCAGCTCGGTTGAGATATTTTTTTCCCGTATTTGGCTCTGACGAATTAGAAAGATAGGACAATATGTCGAGGCTAAGCCTACCTAGAACACAGAAAATGTGCATGCCACTTGGATTGTTAAGAGTGTAGATAAATTTTGACAAAACTTAATCACTCATGTCAATTGATATTTGTCTTGTCTACCTAAGTGAATGCATATTGCTCTCACACTGTCGCGCATTCGGCGTATACCACTAACTCTCTTTCCGATGAAAGCATCAATCTGCTGCGAAATGTAGCGAAGCTAATATAGGAATGTTGATCAGTATAGATCGAAGCCAATTCATTTATATGTCACGGGTTCATATATCTAAATATGGTGTTACAATTATAGCGACATGAACGGTTAATAATAACGCAAAAATCAGCAAGTGGAGGCATGCCGTTTCAGCATCGCCCCGCCCTCGTATTTGCTTCGGGGGAGAAACTTTGCCACGCAACAAACGCATCCGGTCTGATCATCAGTTTATCGATGGCTCGCTTGCGAGCTGATCCTTCAGAATGACAAGCACCATGAATAAAGTTTAGCAGAAAGCTGCTAAAGAGAACAGATCTTAATCCGAGGCAGCTGCCAAGCGCAAGACATGTTTGCTCAACACCTTGTCTACAAAACTAAAATTGAGACCGGTGACGGTGTCGCTGGCAGCTATAAAATCAGCATTTTTGCAAAACACGGAAATCGAATTGTGCCGTAATACAGCAGACCTGAATACAAGCAGCTCTTTAAATGCGCTTGCAAAGGCATAGGTAATGTGTTTTTGAGATGAATGCCCTCTCGCTGTACCTTTCAACAACGCAACTTCTGTTGCCTCTGCGACCAATGCCTTAACGATAGCTTTGGTTTTGTATGTCCAACCTACAGATATGACAAACCGTGCTTCTGAACATACACCTTGAAACCACACCAGCCGTCGCTCATTCCTGTCTCAGCAGAGATGGAAGCTAATGAACGTGATTTACGTTCTCGTTTGTATGTCTCGTCTTGATAGTCGCGTCTGCATCTAGATCTCTGCTCAAGGACTTACCAACAATGTTTAAGATCAATTCACAAAATTTTTTGTTCTGCACTAAAGCTATCAACTTTTTTACCCGCGCCAAAATTACTTCTGCATCTAAGCAGAGATATTCGTGACTCGCCGAAGCTTCATCTGGAGAGAGGTGCATAGAAATAATCATTTTGACTTCCTTTATTTCCAAGGTCTAAGGCATTCAAGCCAAGCCTTCCGAGGATGAGTTTGCATGGAAAATCTAGGTCTTGGATCTGACAACGTTCCACACAATGCTTTCAAAATAGGGAGGTTCCCGAGAACGTTCGTCACTTTCGAAGGTGTCCAATCACAATTCACACAAACATTGCGCCTGCCTTTGACATCTTCAAAGCCTTCAGGTTATGGCTGGATGTTCTGACAACCGCGTGGAATACAGAATTGCACGATATCTTTACATCTATCAGTTTTTTTACAGCTTTACAAAGACAAAGATGTTGATGTAAAATAACCAACAGCTCTGGATCGTGAGCCCCCTCCGCACGAGAAACCTGTGAAAGAAGGTAATGCAGTGTTGGTCAGCTTGTATATTGAGAAGTGAGAGAAGATTTCTAGCTAC